AGCAGGAGGACTTTCAATCTCTCAGATGGCCTCTTTCAGAAGCACAGGGCATTCTGGGTAGGAGGGGTGGGAGGAGCATAGATGCCAAGTCTGCCAGGGCAGAGCTCTGCCTGCTTCTTACTCAAAATGGAGGAGCCGGTGGGAGTGGGCATTTTGGGATAAATCCAGCTTAGCTGAAGACTGCTGGGTATACATACTCCAATGGCCGTGGCAGTAAGCAGATTTTCATACCTCAATTCTTAAGTTAATTTTCCTATTTTGTTCCCTGAATGCCCCACTATGAAGGCTGCTACATAAATAATTTACAGCCTAGTTATGTTCCATTTATCTACTATTTATTATTTAACCTCTTTAAGTCTCAATTAAGCCTATATTTACAAAATTGGGAAAAAATTTCCAACTCATAGAGTTGTATACATACAACATAACACATACGTTAGATATTTGCCTAGAAACTGTTACGATTAATAAAAGGTTGTGTTGCCACATTTCCTTTGACTTTTGTTTTCCTCCATACACTAAGGTTCTTTTATTAAAAAATGTGGACAATTGGACTCTTTAAAAAATGTTTTCATTGATTTTAAAGCGAGTAAGGGAGAAGGATAGACGTAGAAACATCAATCGGTTGCCTCCTGCACGACCCCTACTGGGGATTGAGCCCGCGCCCTATCAATGTACCCTGACCAGGAATTGAGCTGACCTGTTGGTTCATGGGTCTACTCTCAAAACACTGAGCCACACGGGCTGGGCATACTTAAAACCAGAGTACATCTTACAACCAATGTATACATTCATTGGGGGAGCTTTCTTCTTTTTTCACTTCCCGGAGCTATTATTAAATCATCAGTGTGCCTCACACAGCTCTGAACTTTATTTCCCCTCAGAGAAGACTAAATTCAGAGGTTGTATTGTACGTACTAAGCACTGTATTCTCAAACTATTAAAAAGTAAGTGCTCAATAAATTTTTTAAACAACAAATGACTGAATGATAACCAAGGAACTAAGATATTGTTACAAAGAGGCACAAAGTCCAAATTAGTCTACAAAATTTACTAAGAGAAGTAACTTGATCACACAATGCTTGATATTCTGAGACATATAACTGATGTAAGAGTTTTTGTTTATTTATAACCCACCGTATTAAAAAAGAGATGTAAGATGGCTCACACAGATAAGAATAAATGAAAAAGTATGTGAGAACTCAGAGGGAGAGAAAAAAAGACCCAAAACAAACAAACAAAAAAAACAACAAAAACAAAAGGGTATGGACTTAAAATGAATATGGGCTTAAAATGAAGCCAGGAAAGAGCAAATACATAAAATTCTATAGGAATCCAAAGAAAAGAGAATTCCTGAGGTTTAGAAAATGTCAAGAAAACTTCCCTGGTGGAACTAGGATTTGCCCTGAAGTAC